GACTACAACGCTAAAGAGAAGTCCGTGGTCAAAAACGTGCCTGGGTCCCGCCTCGCTGTTCATTTAAACTTTTAGAACCTAAACGGGGTGTGGGACCCGGTCCTAGAAAAATGGGACCCGGGTGGACCCAGGTGGGACCCGGGTGGGACCCGGTGGGACCCGGTCCTAGAAAAAATGGGACCCGGTGGGACCCGGTGGGACCCGGTCCTAGAAAAAATGGGACCCGGGTGGGACCCGGTGGGACCCGGCCCGGTGCGAGAAAAATGGGACCCGGTGTTAGAAAAATGGGAATTGGGTGGACCCGGTGCGAGAAAAAATTAGAACCGTTTTGGGATATGGCCCAAGAAAAATGGGACCCGGGTGGACCCAGGTGGGACCCGGGTGGGACCCGGTGGGACCCGGTGGGACTTGGTGGGTGCAAGAAAAATGGGACGGTGGGACCCAATCCTAGAAAAAAGGGAATTGGGTGGACCCGGTGCGAGAAAAATGGGACCAGAAGGACTTAGCTGGGACCCTGTGAAAATCAGGTGGGACCCAGAAGGGATGTAAGCCACGATAACCCAGATAAGCCTGCGTGCATGCAGCAGCGTTGGTCAATTTTCAGTTGATTGCCTATGTGTGTTGCAGCAGAAAGCTTTAGAGTCAGACTGGGCAGGTTTAGAGTTGCCTAGACGGCCTGCCATGGCTGAAGCGAAGCGACACACTGTGCAGCGCAAGCGCAAAGCTTGCAAAGAGCTGCGAGATCTGATGGTGGATATCGGAATTGAAGTTCCCGAAGACCTGCCGCCTCACCACGAGTGGAAAAAACAGAGCTTTACCGATGTAGCCAAGGAGGTGTCCTTTGGGAGAAAGGGACACCTTTTGCGCTTTCGCAGTATATGCTTTGTCGCATGTAGTTCTTCTTGTTTGCGGATAAGACGTGCGTGCGCTTATCAGGTGCGGGAGAGAAGCACGCCGGAACAGAGGGAAAAGCTAGAGGCCATCGTGGCAGCTTACAACGGATCCTTGCCAGAGGCCAGCTTGCAGGGTCTAAATTTTCAAATCCAGAAGACCAAAACGCTGCGTATTGGCAGTGATAGGTTCCCCCTCTTCCTGGAGCAGCTGCGCTCGGACTTCGTGAAGCTGCTCAGATCGCCGCGGGGCAGCAAGGCGTGCGTGTGTTACCTTGCTCGGGCATGTCCGTTCAAGGCAACTGGGAGGAAGTGCGCGGTTTCTGGTTACTTATGCGGACCGTGCATGATTTGCAGGTGTTTTGGATGGCGCAGATGCTGCTGCTGGCTTTCGCTTACGTTCAAGATCATGTTTGTTCACCTACAACAGCGTAGATATCCGCGAAGGCACCTGGGTCGAGTTTCTTGCCTGGTTGGAAACATTGGAGTTTCTGTGGCAGTGGACGGCCACTCTGGAGAGGTCTGTGCGGTCTGCAGACGCAGGACGGTTGCACTTGCATGTGTTTATGGAGTTTGGCAGGGCCGTGGACTGGAGCACTCTTCGTCCTGTCTGCTTCAATGGCATTTGCCCAAATGCACAGCCAACTCAGGGTCGAGGTGCAAAGCAACGAGAGGTCATGAACCACGCGCATTTCTATGTTTTTGCCCAGAAGGCTTGCGGGTAGTTAAAACTTGGTGGGTGGGACAGGTGAGATCGATTCGCGTGTGAATTTCGTAGCAGGTTTGGTACACTGCTCCCTGCAAGGTTGGAACGATGGAAGTGGCCACTTCAGGTTACGAGCCTTGGCGGGACTACCCCGTGAAGGGGTGGTGGTTGGACAATCTTTGGAGTGAGCACAAGCTCACCCATGCGGTCTACTTGGAGTACGCGCTTGTAGCTTAGCAGTCCGTGTGCTTCTTTCTTCGCAGAGTGTTGTGAGCGCAGTGCGACGGTACTTACATCTTGATTTCTTCAGAGCGCTTCACCAAGGTGCAAGGTCCGCACCGGTTTTATTGGCCGCTTGAAGACTGTGGAAGCAGTGAGGCTGCATGAGCGTGCTGGACAGCATGAAGCTGAGCAGCGCCGGGTGGAGGTCAGCTTGGCACGTTTGGTTCGGCCTTTTCGGGCAGAGATCGTTGCTGCCTTGCAGCCTTGGTCTGTGCAATATGCGTCGGACCAGCTGCGGTACAAGTTCCTGCTTCTAAGAGGAGGCTCGCGCACCGGGAAATCGACTCTGGCCAAATCTCTCGGCCAATTGTTTGGTTGGCGACCTCCCTATATTCAGACGGTGCAGGGCGCTCCAGCGCCAGATCTGAAAGATTTTCGACGGGAGGAGCATGGATTCATTCTGTTCGATAATATTAACAGCATGGAGTTTGTTTTGGATCACCGCACGTTGTTCCAAAGCAACAACTCCATTCACACCCTTGGGATTTCCCAAACTGGTATCTATTCGTACCGGGTGTGGCTGTACAGGGTTCCAATTGTAGTCACGGTTGATGAGTCTGCGATTTGGGACAGTAGCGAGCCGTGGCTGAGCCAGAACCTCGTGGAGATCCTACT